TTTTGGCCCCACTGTATAATATAATATAATATAATATTTTTAGTATATAAAGTGAAACACGATAGATGGCTGATATTTATATTAGTAATCAGTGGCGCAGATAGGATTTTTTAACTGGGGGGGACCAAGTTGTCAGCAAATGATTTAAACTCAATTCGTTATTTTGCAGAATTTGGGCTTTAACTAGTGCTCAAGTAGTTACTTTGCGTTATTTGGGCTAATAATTAAGACTAAAAAGTCAATGGGGGATTCTTATTTGAAATCATGGATTACAGCCATGAACAAAGGTAAAAGAAAAAGAAAAAGAAAAAAAGGCCTTACTGATCACCACCAGCAATGCATGATCAGACTGTTATTTGACTAGTATTCCAATCACCCATGACCCATGTCTTCAGCAAAGTATTTATTATTTAAACATTTGCTTATCTCAGCATACAATGTCTATCATTATGAACAAAAAAGCAAATAACCTATGTGCAAAAATAAAAAAATAAAATAACAACAACATATTTTTACTGTGGCTGCCCTCTTGCAGATCCTCTCTTGACTGACTACTAGGGCCTGCCTTACTGTCATCAAAAATTGCCTGCTGGCCAGGAGGACAACATTTTAAAGTATATTTTCAGTTAAAACTCTATACCTCTATAGAATTTCACAACAATGTGAAATAAAACATATTGCAGAGAATTAATTGCTAAAACTACAATTTCAAAAAATCTAATAATAACTAAACATTTTAAATGTAAGTGTTAATTAAAGTTTGTTGCAATTTATAGATTAGAAATATATTACAAATGATGTATGACATATTAAGAAATGTTTTTCATAGCCCATAATTTTAGAATCTATATCCTCTGTTGCGCCGTACAATAAAAAATAAATAAAATAAAAATAAAAACATGATTTCCTGCTATAAGAGGATGTCAAAAGTAGGCCTTTATTTGTTGTTTGCATAAACCTTGCACTACACAAATTTACTTATTATAATTATTTTTATAGTGGTTACACAACATTGAACATACCTCAGTCAACTTATACAGTACAGTGGGTTAAATTATTAGATAAAACATTATTTCCTGACGACGATAAATTGTTTGATGTATCCAACCATTCTTTTTGTGTTCATTCATTATTTATTTGCCTCTGTCCACTCATCTTAATGCATGGTTATGATCTCCACATTTTAGCTGTGTTTACTAAGTGCAAAAGTCCTCATCTGTGAAAATCAAAATGCATAGAATACTTGTTTGGTTTTTAAAAAAAATAAAAACGAGGGGATGCCTTTATGTGGCATTTATACAGTCGATTTTTTTTTTTTTTTAGTTCAGAAAATCACAGACTCCGCTCAGTCATAAATTGTATATGATCACTATGGTTACAAGTCCGCTTCTACGATGAAGCAGCTAGCTCCTCATAGGACCCCGGGGACGTCACTCAAGAGGAGTCGTAGGCGTAGCACACGTCGGTGGCATGATGGCATCGTGTGTTTATTGACAACAGAACAGCGTGTAATGAGAACATGGGTAGGCTACAAAGTAATAATGACCGGTGTAGATTATTATTGTGCGTGTCCCGGCCCGCCGCTGCTTCAGAATCGGGTCGGGGCACGCACAACAATAACTTTGGCTAGCAAAAACACTGGTTATCCTCTGGTTTACCGATTTTTGTCGACTTTCGTAGGGATAGTGAGGGCGGGAGACGGATCGGGTCACTATGAAACGGGGGGGGGGGGGGGGGATGATAGTGCAGATAGCACTGCAGTGCAGATAGGGGGATGTTAGTGCAGATAGCACTAACAGGGACCCAGTGCTATCTGCGTCCCTGTTAGTAATAATCATAGGGACATGGTGCACAAATTACAGCATTTCCTGAGAAGGACCCACTTGTGGTTTCAGAAGCTTTGCTACAGTGCTGTCTGAGGCTAGTTACAGAATACTGCATGAAAATAACAAACAAAAATATAGCTGCGAGCAGCGATTACGGGCCCAAGCCGGTGGCACCACAACCTCGGCACCTTTAGTTACCTAAAGGCACCAGGATGGCGGTACCGTCAGCTTTGGATGGCGGTACCGCCAGCTATATTTAAGTACTTAACCCCGCTATATGTCAACAAGACTGGATTTGCAGACCGATTAAGAGTAAAGAACAGTGCTGTGCCATCTATATTGGATCTGACAGGAACATTGTGCAACACACGGACTCTGGGTCGAACATGTATGGGCGAATCCAGTCGCCATTTGACAACATTGGACGTTTTCCCCCATGTGCACCGACGGGTGAGTTAAACTCATTATAATATGCAAAACTGTTCTCCACTCGCAGCAGTGGGTGTTTACTTCCAAGTCTTCAGTGCGGCACGCCCATACAAACCGACTGTTTTTTAGGTAGGCTCACAACCAGGATACAAAATAGCCTATTACTTGTTCATTTTGATGTTTTTGAATGCAAAAACCAAGCAAACGTTATAAGTTGACCTCAGACAATAATATAATAAAATTTAAAAAGCCAGTTCATGACCCCTTTAACCCCCGCTTTGACTGTCGAAGAGAAGTGTGCTGAAGAGCTTGCATCAGTGAGGGCTCTGCAATATATACTGTATATATATATACATACAAATACAGACACACACACACACACACACACACACACGCACATATATATATAAAGACAGAGAATATTACTTGCTTTACCTGATTAGAATGCTACCTTGAAAAACAAAAATTTTAATTAAATCTCACCCAACAGAGAAATCCCCCTGCCCACTCCCCACACAAGATTGTCCTTAAACAGAGCACTAATCTGTTTATTTTTAAGTTACACATTCTACATTGACTAAAAACACATTTGATGTTTCTTTTTAGTCAGAGTATTATTTTATACAGAAAAAAAATTGTAATTCAGATGAGAATGAGGTTAGTGTTTTACAATATTAAGGAAAGCAAATATATTGAAATATAGCACATGAATTTTAAATTCATTCAGCTTCAATTACCAATTTGTTGTTTACCAATTTATCTTACTTTTATTTAAAGCAAACTATACATTTAAAAGATTAGGGTTATATGCATATTTTGTCATTTAAAAAAATACAAAATTGTTATGCAAAAAGACAAGGACTTGCAGGAAAAATCTACAGTCAGCCACACACACACACACACACACACACACACACACACACCAGCACCCCCCCCTCCTCCCCACACAGACACTGATAGAGACAAGATACACATCCAAACTACAATATCTGACTTTCTTTTGGTCTGAGCTTCTTACTGTTAATTAGAAAGTTGATCGGCTTGACAAGAACAATATACGTGGCAAGTTTTGTAACTGTAGGTAAAATGAGCAAACATTTTATCACATTTTATGTGTCCTTTTTTAGTTATAAAATTCATTTCCTCGCCACGGCCAAACCGTTCGAGATATCAAAAATCCATCCGGAATTGAGCATCCTCAATGTTTTGACTTCATGCACACCGAGATTGGTGGTTGTCACATGCGTTGTAATTTGATGTATTTCTCCTAGGAGATTTCTTCAAACAACCCATAATTCCCGACTTCCATTTGAACTGTCGTAAAACTGAGAGCACGAAAGTTGTTTGGCCTGATGTGATCTATAAGTGTACCGAGTTTCATATTATTACATGCAAGTGTGTTTGATTTATGGACCAAATTTTCAGATCACGTTTATGGACCAAGTTAATTTAATTAATAAAATAATTATATAAAACTATTGTCAATGCACTACAATTAAACTGGTTATATTATGCCTTTACTTATAAAAATTAAAATAAAAACTTATTTAAAACATACCAGGCTTAAGAAATGTATAAAGAAATGTCTGCAGGCCAGACACACAGCAGTGAAATGGTTAAGCCCCCTCCTCCTACAAACACACACACACAGACAGAGACAGAGACGTAGGCTCAGAGAGAGCATGACCACATTCAAACAAACATATCTGACTTTTTGTGGGTCCTAGCTAATGAGTGTCAATTAGAAAGTTGCCTGGCTCGAGGAGTAAAATATACATACTGATTTTTGTAACTGTAGATAAAACTAACAACCCCACTTTTGTCAAAAGGTGGTGCTACTGAGCCCTCACCATGCCCATTTCTGAAACTTTGCACATGTCACCTGGCGAATAAATGTGATGTGTCTGTCGAGTTTCATGCAATTTGAAGCATGCTAAGAGTCTCAAAAGCATCCTAAAAGAATGGTAAAGATTGATGCGTTGCCACGGCAACAGTTTCAGAGATACCAAGAATCCATTCACACGTCTTCATCTGCCGTGTATTTATATTATACAGATAAAGACTGATGCAAATCGGGTTAAATTAAGAGGGTGATTTCAAAGCATTTTGAAAGTGACACACTTCCTGCTGCCAGTTGGTGGCACTATAGCTTTGACTCACAATAGTCACATCCATGTGATCGTCCTCTTACAGCGAACACACTGCTGAAGTTTCTTCAAGATCAGTTAATGTATGCTGAAGTTATGACACACTTCCTGTTTCACGTTTCTCGCCATAATTTCCTTTCCTCGCCACGGCCAAACCGTTCGAGATATCAAAAATCCCCTCGCAAACTTTCATCCTCTATGTCTTGACTTCACGCTGACCGAGTTTCGTCGAATTTGGATCAGAGCTCTAGGAGGAGTATTTCAAATTCCATTGCACGAGTTTCATATTATTACATGCAAGCGTGTTTGATTTATGGACCAAGTGTTCGGACCCCATTCCAGGGGGCGCTGTCGAGCCCTTCGCCCTTTCAGGGCTTGGGCCCTAATAATAAGAACCCTTAGGAAAACAATAGGGCCTTTGCCCTTTCAGGGCTTGGGCCCTAATAAACAAGAAGAAGAATAAATAATCCCAAGGAAAACAATAGGGCCTTCGCCCTTTCATGGCTTGGGCCCTAATAATAAATAATCCCAAGGAAAACAATAGGGCCTTCGCCCTTTCAGGGCTTCTGCCCTAAAAAGAAAGACTCATGTACCCTACCTCAAACGACTGGAAGATGAGGCCCACATGAAACCCCTGGGATACGATGATCTTCCATGTGCAAACTTTATTAGGCCGATAGTCATCAGGGTAATTGGGTGACTCAATCTGTCCACTGTCCCTTCTCACTTCACCTCCGCAAATAGCTGAAACCATGGATAGGACATCACATATTAACACTACATCTGTCCAGATGAGTTGTCTGTCTGAAAATGATTTTCTTATTTGAAGGAAAGGACTTTTTCAGTTAGGATTGGGGATTTGTCTTCCTCTGTAGTTCATATTGACTGTGGAGTTACTGAAGGCTCCATTTTGTGGCCTATTTTGTTTTCTTTATTTTTTGTTGTCCTTAGGTCTTGTTTCTAAAAGACACAGTATGTCGTATCATCTTTATGCCGATGACATTCAGATTTACTTGCCCATTAAATCTGGAGGATGAAATCCTCATTCATCTTTGTTATTTTGTCTTGAGGAGGTGAAGTGATGGTTAGAACAAAATCATCTCCAGCTAAATGCAACTAAATCTGAAGTTAAAATGTTTGGGCCAAATCAAGGTGACTGAAAATTAACGGATATTTTGGGTCGAATGCCCAGAGCCGCTTATTGGGTGCTACGAATGTCTATTAAATGCGCCTGTACACAGCTCATAGCCAATCGTTTCAATTATAACAGATGATGTATGCAGAGCGAAAGAAATTAGACGAGAAAGAAGAGATTTATTTGTGTTCTAAACTATATCTAAGGCTGCTGTCACCATCCCAGGACTCTCTGTGTGTTTTCATTTACCACGTGTGCCCCTCGTCTGAGTTCTCCACCCTCATCTGTTACCATGGACACTAATCACCTCCCGCACAGCTGACTGTCATTTGTTAATTATCTTCACTGTGTATTTAGTTCCTGCCTGCCTTCACTCCCTTGTCCGGTATTGTTTGTGTGTGACACGCTGTGTGTGTCTGCCTGTTCCTGAGATTCATTGATTAAAATTAGTGTTAATTCTACCTTCCTCCTCGTCTTCCTTGACCAGCCTCGTGACAGAATACCGGACCCAAAATTCAAGATGAATATCGAGTTCATCGCACTAGCTGAGTCGTCATCGGATTTTGTTTCATTTTCTAGAGACTTTGTTGCACTTGCCCTCTCCAGCCCCCTCGATGACGAAACCCTGAAGACCCTGTTCTGGATCGGGGCCACATTCCACCAGCACTTCTACCTTCCAGACTCCTCTAACCTGGACTGGAAGGAGGCCGTTTCCCGGTGTCTGGAGTGCGTCGAAGCCCGATCCAGAACACTGCCAGACCCAGAGCCGGAATTACCACCCTCAACCGCGGAGATCTCATGCTTGCCCCCCGCAGACGGAGAGCTACCACCCGCCGCGACGCGTCAACCAGTGCCCGAGACGAAGGGGACAGAGTTGACCCTCGCCCCGGAGGAGGAGCTCCAACAGGAGTCTGACCAGGGGTGTGAGCCACCAACATCTGCGGACGAGGGGACTAATTTCCTGGAACTGGAGGACTGGCTGATGAAACCCAGGACACTGGATATCGTTCCCGCCCTATCCCACCCGTCATCGGCATCTATTTCATATTTTGAACCATCCTGTGATGACTTCTGTCCTGCCGTCTGTCTGATTCACTCCATCCCATCACCGTTCCCAGTCAGTCCTCCAGCCTCGCCGCTGCTGGATGTGCGCAGCCCTGCACCATCTCCGTGGGGAGTCTCCGACGTCGAGCGGCAGGTCAGCCCACCATCCGCAGCGCCTGTGTTCGAGGATCCCACGGCTTCGCCTCCAGCCTCGGTCCTCTGCACTCCATCTCGGCCAGTCGACCTGCCGGCTCCGTCTTGGCTCCTCCCACCTGCGCCTCCGCCTGAGACCCTCGAAACATCGGCTACAGTGGGTTCCCTTGTCCTGCCGGCTCCCCCTTGGTCAGTCGTCACTCTGCCTGCGCCACGGACTTGCGGTCAGTCTGCTACACTTGATCCCTCCACCCCTTTGGCTTCAGCGGGCTCCTCCTTCCCTGTGGCGTCTCCTCTGTCCTCCCTCACTCCACCTCCACCTCAGCTCTCGGGCACTCTGGCTACGGCTCCAGCGCTCGTCGCCGCGACGTCGCCGGAGTCTCCTATACCGGTGACGTCGCTTGAGTCCACCGGCTCTCCGTCTGCGCCGAGAGATCCTGCCACCGAGTCTCCGTCGGTCATTCCCCAGCTACCGTCAGTCCCCTCGCCATCTGGTTTCTTCCCTCCGTCATCTCTGCCATTGGCCGTCGGTACTGGGAAGCACCGCGCCATCTCCATCTAGGCCGCCAGGGAATCGTCATCGTCCCCTCACCGTCCCGTCACTCCAGCCTCTCTTCTGTGTTTCACCATCGTCTCGTCCTCCACCTGAACCTTCCCCTGGTTCCCCCTCCGTCATTTTGCTACGGGGGCGATCTGTCACCATCCCAGGACTCTCTTTGTGTTTTCATTTACCACGTGTGCCCCTCGTCTGAGTTCTCCGCCCTCATCTGTTACCATGGACACTAATCACCTCCCGCACAGCTGACTGTCATTTGTTAATCACCTTCACTGTGTATTTAGTCCCTGCCTGCCTTCACTCCCTTGTCCGGTATTGTTTGTGTGTGACACGCTGTCAACCTGTCTGCCTGTTCCTGAGATTCATTGATTAAAATTAGTGTTAATTCTACCTTCCTCCTCGTCTTCCTTGACCAGCCCCGTGACAGCTGCATCGAAAGGTAACTTCGCATCTGCTGCCATGTTTGATCTATAGGTATAAACAAACTGTTTCGCTGTGTCGCAGACATCGTCATCATCATTGCTGCTCCCTCCCCGTTCTGTGATTGGTCCCCTTGCAGAGGCGAAAATTTGGTCCATGGTATCCAGACTGCCTAGCAACGTGATTAAAATCACACTCCGCACAGGCAGCACGGGGAAACCCAGGGGCCTCTTTTACACTGCATGGTTCAAGTGACCCAAATCCGATTTTTTATCTCTCATGTGGCACAGATCGGATATGACCGGTGAACGTGTAAGCAGGAAAAAAACGCATGGATTCCGATTTTTTCAGATCGGATTCAGGCCTCATATGTGGTAATAAATCGGATATGAATCAGATACGTGCATTTGCGTGTGCCATGTAAGCAGACAAATCGGATATTCCCCAGTAAATGTGAGTCATGCGTCATTAAAAACGCGAGCCGCGTGATGGAAGAAAGGATACACACAGTGGAGCACATGCGGAGGTTTCATGTCTTTTGAGTGTTTGGGGTGAAGAGTGCAGGCAAAAATGCAGGGTTGTTACAGAAATAAATCCGTTTTTGAAGACATTTCACGAGATATGAGGCATCGTTTTAAGTGCTCATGGCCAGAGCCTCCTCTTTTTTTCTCCGCCGTATGTTTTGATGACTTATTGAAATATTGTGGAAAGAAAACACTGGATAATTTTATTCGTATCTGCATCCATTGAATTTCGTGCTGTTTTGCTTAATTTCCCTGTTCAGAACCATCAGAACGTCTGCATTTGGTAGTTTCAGCAGTGTATTGTGTGAATGCAAAAATCGAATATGGGTCACTTTTAAAAGATGATGTAAGCAGGTCGTCAAAAAAATCCCAAAAGGTCTTTGCTGCAGTCTGTAGCACGATGACGTAGCTGGATGGTCCAATACGTAGTGGATGGATGTGTGTTTTGGTGACGTCATTTACGCATCGCATGCGCAAGTGCCGATCTCTGATTATAATTCGAATGCATTGGTTTTAAGTGATATGTAAGCTCAATATTGTACTGAGATGATGTTCAAACTGTGTAGTATAATACTACTGTTAAATAATTATAAGTAATTATTGATGAATAAGTAAGGAAAATGCTAAAATAATAACAGCATGGGGAAAATAAATCTTGTAATAACAAACTCGCATTTATGTTATTCAGAATTGCGAGAAAAAAGGTCAGAATTCTGACTTTATAGCACACAATTGCGACTTTATTTCACGCAATTCTGTCTTTATAACATGCGATTGAGGCTTTATTTCACCTAATTCTGTCTTTATAACATGCGATTGAGGCTTTATTTCACCTAATTCTGTCTTTATAACATGCGATTAAGGCTTTATTTTACCTAATTCTGTCTTTATAACATGCGATTGAGGCTTTATTTCACCTAATTCTGTCTTTATAACATGCGATTGAGGCTTTATTTCACCTAATTCTGTCTTTATAACATGCGATTGAGGCTTTATTTCACGCAATTATGTCTTTATAACATGCGATTGAGGCTTATTTCTAGCAATTATGTCTTTTATAACATGCGATTGAGGCTTTATTTCACCCAATTCTGTCTTTATAACATGCGATTGAGGCTTTATTTCACCTAATTCGGTCTTTATAACATGCGATTGAGGCTTTAGGTTATTTCACGCAATTATGTCTTTAACATGCGATTGAGGCTTTATTTCACCTAATTATGTCTTTATAACATGCGATTGAGGCTTTATTTTACCTAATTCTGTCTTTATAACATGCGATTGAGGCTTTATTTCAAGCAATTCTGACTTTATATCTCACAATTCTAAGAAATAAAGTCAGTATGCGAAAAGTATACTCGCAATTGTAAGGAAAAAGTCGCAATTATTTAAAAAAAAAAAGTTTTATTCTAAAAGCTCTGAAAATAAGAGCTTCGCTCGTGACCATATAAATGTATTCTTGGAAGATCAACGATTGTTCACCAACTCTCTACACTAACTAGGCCTATGAATTCTTAATGTGCATGTGCCATCAGCGTTTATCACAGGATCGCGTTTAAAGTCTGTTTAGAGAGAACGGTGTCATCCCCTAATTTAATAACAAATTATCATTTCGACAGAATCAAAACTAACTTTAGCTGTAAAATAACATTATTCATGAACCGCTATAAAGCAAAAACAATCTGTTACATTAAATTAAAGCTGCTTTGAAACAATCTAAATTGTTAAAAGCCTATAAATCAAGATGACTTGACTTGACTAGTGCGCATGCGCATGCGCGCGTTACAGGGTCCAACACGTATTGGACCATCCAGCTACGTCATCGTGCTATAGGCTGCAGCGAGGGGTGTCTTAGTCAGAAAATCGGATTTGGGCAACAAGACCTGCAGTGTAAATGCAGCCTAATAGACCTTAACAATCACTTAATTGTTTACTTCTCGCAATCCCTAAAACTCTCTTTTAAAGCACTGGCTTATTCTATTGTCCAAGACAGTGGAATACCCTTCCACCTGACATAAGATTAGACTGGGGGCAGCAGTGGCTCAGTGGTTCATGTAGGTTGTCTACAAACTGGAAGGTTGGTGGTTCGATGGCCGGTTCCACCTGTCCAAGTGTCGAGGTGTCCATGAGCAAGACCCCTAACCCCAGCTGGATGGCACCTTGCATGGCTGACGCTGTCGGTGTATGTGTGAATGTGAGGCAAAATGTAAAGTGCTTTGGTGGCCATTGGGTCTGTGAAAGCGCTATATAAATGCAGTCCATTTAAAATTTGATCTGCACCCTCAATTTCAAGAATTGTATTTTAAAAATATCAATTTTGTCAGTTGGGTTATGTATATGTGCCTATTCCTCTCTGCTTTTTGTTATTTTTGTTATTATTTTTTTACTATTGACTGTTGTCTTGTGTTCTGTTTTATTGTTAGCTATTATCTGTAGACTGCTATTAACTGTAAAGCTCTTTGGACTACTTTGTAGTGGAAAGGGCTCTATAAATAAACTAGACTTGAGACCAATGGTCAGTGGACTTATACCTTCATAAACAGCAGAGAAACCTTTCCCCACCCAATTACTGCTGCTGCGGAATTCAATCCACAGTCGACTCTCAGTGGAGACGATGGCTTCGGGTAGCTGGTCTCCACAATAACGGCCTAAGAACCAAAAGGCAAAAGAACCAATTGATTAAAAAGTTACTTCCAAAATTTAATGGACAGGGTTGATTGAGTATTTAATTATTTAGTGTTTCTTTCTAATAATCCTAAAGCCATTAAGAAAACATTTATTTGGTCTCCTCTCCACCAGTAAGCGGGTGTGTGGAGGGCGTTCTGGCGCAATATGGCTGGTGTTTGCTGCATATTGGTGGTGGTTGAGGAGATTCCCCCTTCCATGTAAAGCGCTTTGAGTACCCAGAAAAGCACTATATAATTGTAACAAATTATAATTATAAATTAAAGCTGCAAGCAGCGATGGGCGGGCCCTCGCACCTGTAGCGCGTCAGGATGTGAGGCGGCCGTGTTGCATATTCTGCAGCTCAGCCATTGCGGCTGTGCATTTGCTACGCTGCTTCGTTAAAGGTCACTTCCTGTTGCCAGCAGGTGGCGCTATGACTGTTGGTGAATGTCGGCATGTAGATTTGTTCAGGGCGGGACTCTTGTCAATTGTGTAAAATTTCATGCAGATCTGGGCATTTACAGCTGAGTTACTACAAGTTACTACTGTTTCATGGCGAATCATCGACGCCACGGACACGCCCATCGACGAAAATGCGCAGATAGCACAACTTTACATCGTCAATGCCTTTAGAAGGCACAGCAGAAATATGAAGTCGATCCGACAAAATCCCTTGGAGGAGTTTGTTAAAATACTGAGTGTGTAAATCGTCCCAACATGGCTGCCAAATTCAAAATGTCGGACTTCCTGTCGAGTTTAGGGTATCGCTCCAAGAGACTTTTTTGTGCGTCTGGACATGGTAGACGTACCACAGAAATTTTGTACATGTCGGTCAAACATGCGGCGGGGGCTGCTTCGTTAAAGGTCACTTCCTGTTGCCAGCAGGCGGCGCTATGACTGTGGGTAAATGTCGGCATGTAGATTTGTTCAGGGCGGCACTTTTGTCAAATGTGTAAAATTTCGTGCATATCTGGGCATTTACAGCCAAGTTACTACAACTTCCTGTTTCATGGCGAATCATCGACGCCACGGAGACGCCCATCGACAAAAACGCGCAGATAGCACAACTTTACATCGTCAATGCCTTTAGAAGGCACAGCAGAAATGTGAAGTCGATCCGACTAAATCCCTAGGAGGAGTTCTTTAAAGTAAGTAATGAGTAAATCATCCCAAAATGACGGTAAAATTAGAAATGGCCGACTTCCTGTTGAGTTTAGGGCATCGCTCCAAGAGACTTTTCTTTGCACCTGGACATGGTAGATGTACCACAGAAATTTCATACATGTCGGTCAAACATGCGGCGGGGGCTGCTTCGTTAAAGGTCACTTCTTGTTGCCAGCAGGTGGCGCTATGACTTTGGGTGAATGTCGGCATGTAGATTTGTTCCAGGCGGGACTCTTGTCAAATATGTGAAATTTCATGCAGATCTGGGCATTTACAGCCAAGTTACTACAACTTCCTGTTTCGTGGCGAATCTTCGATGCCACGGACACAACCATCGACGAAAACGCGCAGATAGCACAACTTTACATCGTCAATGCCTTTAGAAGGCACAGCAGAAATTTAAAGTCGATCCGACTAAATCCCTAGGAGGAGTTTGTTAAAGTACGGAGTGTGTAAATCATCCCAAAATGGGCGCCAAATTCAAAATGGCCGACTTCCTGTTGAGTTTAGGGTATGGGTTCTTGAGGCTTTTTTGTGCGTCTTGACATGATACACGTCCCCACCAAATTTCGTGCTTGTAGGTTGAACGTGGACGAGGGGCTAATTTTTTGCAATTTTCTAGGTGGCGCTAGGGAGCCATTTTGCCACGCCCATTCGCGAAACCCACAAAATACGAAATTTTTTACCAGTCCTGACATGCGTGCCAAATTTGGTGAGTTTTTGAGCATGTTGCGGCGCCGAAAATGGCGCTTACTTTGCAGAAAAATAACCCCAACAGTTTCAATATGGTCCTCGCACTGTTAGTCCTCGGGCCCTAATTAATACAAAAACAATACATAAATGATCTTAATAAATATGAGAACCTTTCAAAGGTGCTTTTCTCCAAAATCCATCACGGATCTCCACATGATCGTACCAGCACAAGTGACTTCTATACAGATCCATTGATGTAAAATTAAGAACGATCTAACAAAGAGAAAGAAATACAGACAAAAGAGAGAAATTGGGATTCAGAAGAAGGTTATTTATACTATCGTTGACAAGTTTGAGTTCTGTAAGTTTCTTGCAATGACTTTAAAGCTGCTGTCCGTAACTTTTTTAAGTTAAAAATAATCCAAAATAATTATAAAATTAAAGCTGCAAGCAGCGATGGGCGGGCCCTCGCACCTGTAGCGTGTTGGGGTGTGAGGCGGCCGCGTTGCATATTCTTCGGCTCAGCCGTTGCGGCTGTGAATTTGGTTCGCTGCTTCATTAAAGGTCACTTCCTGTTGCCAGCAGGTGGCGCTATGACTTAGGGTGAATGTCGGCATGTAGATTTGTTCAGGGCGGGACTCTTGTCAAATGTGTAAAATTTGGTGCAGATCTGGGCATTTACAGCCAAATTACTACAACTTCCTCTTTCATGGCGAATCATCGACGCCATAGACACGCCCATCGACGAAAACGCACAGATAGCACAACTTTACATCGTCAATGCCTTTAAAAGGCACAGCAGAAATTTTAAGTTGATCCGACTAAATCCCTAGGAGGAGTTCGTTAAAGTACGGAGTGTGTAAATCGTCCCAAACCGGTCGCCAAATTCAAAATGGCGGACTTCCTGTCGAGTTTAGGGTATGGGTTCTTGAGGCTTTTCAGTGCGTCTGGTCATGGTAGAAGTACCACAGAAATTTCGTACATGTCGGTCAAACAAGCGGCGGGGGCTGCTTCGTTAAAGGACACTTCCTGTTGCCAGCAGGTGGCGCTATGACTGTGGGTGAATGTCGGCATATAGATTTGTTCAGGGCGGGACTCTTGTCAAATGTGTAAAATTTCGTGCAGATCTGGGCATTTACAGCCAAGTTACTACAACTTCCTGTTTCATGGCGAATCTTCGACGCCACGGACACGCCCATCGACGAAAACGCGCAGATAGCACAACTTTACATCGTCAATGCCTTTAGAAGGCACAGCAGAAATTTTAAGTCGATCCGACTAAATCCCTAGGAGGAGTTCGTTAAAGAGTCTGTAAATCGTCCAAAAATGGCCGCCAAATTCAAAATGGCGGACCTCCTGTCGAGTTTAGGGTATGGGTTCTTGAGGCTTTTTTGTGCGTCTTGATATGATACACGTCCCCACCAAAATTCGTGCATGTAGGTTGAACGTGGACGAGGGGTTTTTGAGTTTTTGAGCATGTTGTGGCCCCGAAAATGGCACTTACTTTGCAGAAAAAATAAAAAAATAAAAAAATAAAAAATAATCCTAACAGTTTCAATAGGGTCCTCGCACTGTTAGCGCTCGGGCCCTAAAAAAAAAAACATTCTGCCAGTGGTCAAAACTATATGCTTGCCATAGCTAGATTCAAAACGGTTAGCTTGTAATAATGATTTTAATTTCAGTGGTACTGGTGGGTTTCCGCAGGAAATTCGAGCATGTCTTTGCCACCGGGAAATTTGACACCGGAGGATTCACACGATCTGTGCGTGTTCTGCCTGAAAGAAGAGCATGTGCGGGAAGCTCTCGAGGGAGTTTTTTGCGCGAACTGAGAGTTTTCCTTTCAGAACTCTCTGCTCTCGTCTGACCCACTTCTCGAGGGAAATGGGCGCGGCATCTGAACCCCGCGGTTCCGGTTCCCGCTCGGGCTGAGGCTCAGTGGCGGTTGAGCTCGTGGAGCTTTCAGATGGAGCTGGCAGATTATCGGGCGAGGGGCGTTAACCTCGCGGATGATCTACCAGCTGACGAGGGTGAGTTACAGATTAATGTTGAACATCTAAGAAGAGAGAAAATGAGCGCTCTCTCTCTTTGGTGAATCTGTAACTGTTCTCTTTGGGCAGGGCAGGAGTTGGCTGTAATATATATATATATATATATATATATATATATATATAGAAAAGGATGTCAGTTTGGTTGAGACCGAATCATTTCAGCCCTCCTGCCCAGTGTACGCTGAGCTGGTTGACATTATGGGGCGCGCCTCAGACAGATTGCTGTTGCAGTGGAGGCGCGTCTGGGAGGAACCCGCTCATGGTATTTTGGATGGCTGGTTCCTCCTCACCCATAAGCCACCAGCCCGGATGAGCCTTCCATTCGTTTCCGATCTCCACGCTGGGATCGAGAGGGTATGGAAGAATCCGTTCTCCTCACGTCTCTATCTGCATCAGCGGGCTAGTTTCGCTGCTGTGGAGGGAGCCGTGGAGAACGGATAAGTGTCGAGGCCGCCAGTGGACGAGACGTTGGCTAAATATCTCGTCTCTGGTTGGTCCTCTTCACTAAGAGCTCTGACCCTGTCATCCAAGCTGCTCAAGACATCTTCATGCTTGAATGACAGAGCGTACACGGCAGCAGGTCAGGCAGGTGCGGTTCTGCACGCCCTTGTGGTCCTCAGGCCTACCAGACCGATCTGTTGCGGGACTCCGGGCCACCAAGCAATCTGCTGTTCTGTCGGTGCTATGGTGGCCACGGAGAGACATCTGTGGGAGCTCCCACATACTGTGGTTGCCAGGTTACAGGCCTCACCAGGCCTTCCTGGTTATGAGCTCCCACTGATTGTGGTCACCGGGTTACAGGCCTCACCAGGCCTTCCTGGTTATGAGCTCCCACATGCTGTGGTCGCTGGGTTACAGGCTTCACCAGGCCTTCCTGGTTATGAGCTCCCACATACTGTGGTCGCCAGGTTACAGGCCTCACCAGGCCTTCCTGGTTATGAGCTCCCACATACTGTGGTCGCCAGGTTACAGGCCTCACCAGGCCTTCCTGGTTTTGAGCTCCCACATACTGTGGTCGCCAGGTTACAGGCCTCACCTGGCCTTCCTGGTTATGAGCTCCCACACATTGTGGTCGCTACGTTACAGGCCTCAAAGGGGCCTTCCTGGTTATAGTTCCCACATACTGTGGTTGCCGGGTTACAGGCCTCACCAGGCCTTCCTGGTTATGAGCTCCCACTTATTGTGGTCGCCAGGTTACAGGCCTCACCAGGCCTTCCTGGTTATGAGCTCCCACATACTGTGGTCACCAGGATACGAGCTCTCACGTACTGTGGTCGCCAGGTTAAAGGCCTCACCAGGCCTTCCTGGTTATGAGCTCCCACACATTGTGGTCGCCAGGTTACAGGCCTCACCAGGCCTTCCTGTTTATGAGCTCCCACATACTGTGGTCGCCAGGTTACAGGCCTCACCAGGCCTTCCTGGTTATGAGCTCCCACACATTGTGGTCGCTAGGTTACAGGCCTCAAAGGGTCCTTCCTGGTTATGAGTTCCCACATACTGTGGTAGTCAGTTTACAGGCCTCACCCAGCCTTCCTGAATGTGGGCTCCCACATGATGCGGTAGCCAGACTACAGCCTCACCACCTTCCCTGAGCACTTTGCTCCCACTCTGTGGTCACCAGGCTTCAGGCTTCATTGGCCTTCCTGGTTGTGAAACCCCCACTTTTCGTGGTCGCTAAGTTGTAGTGGTGAGTCTTCACATGTCAGGCTGCAGGCCTCAGCGGCCTTCCTGAATGTGAGCTCCCCATGCATTGGGACTATCGGGTGTTAGGCCTTGTCAGGCCTTCCTGATTATGGGTTTCCACTTGTTGTGGCTGCCAGGTTACAGGCCTCAAGTTCGGCCTTTCTGAATTCAGAGTGAAGTACACTAACCCCTACTTCACCTATTATTGTGGTAAATCACATGACGGGATGTCTTGTGTACTTTCTAAAATCCATTTTGTATGGTAAGGGTCACGCGTGGTATGCTTCGGTCCCTTCTTATGTGGCTCAGACCCCGGTCTTCCCTTGGGTCCCACTTTAAGTGGCGTCCTGTCACTGGCTACAGGGACGCCCTTCTCTGGCTAACTTCTGGAAGAAGTAGCTTCCACTTGGTGGAGTAAGCTCCCACAGGTTGTGGTCACCAGGCTGGGTCTCACTGACCTTCCTGAGTACGAGCTCCCACCCAATGTGGTCGCCAGGTTACAGGCCTTACCAGGCCTTCCTGGTCATGAGCTCCCACACACTGTGGTCGCCAGGTTACAGGCCTCAACAGCCCTTCCTGGTTATGAGCTCCCACATATTGTGGTTGCTGGGTTACAGGCCTCACCAGGCCTTCCTGAATTCAGAGTGAAGTACACAAACCCATACTTCACCTATTATTGTGGTAAGTCACCCGACGAGATGTCTTGTGCACTTTTTAAAATCCATTTCTTATGGTGAGGGTCACGCGCAGTATGCTTCGGTCCCTTCTTATGTGGCTCAGACCCCGGTCTTTCCTCGGGTCCCACTTTAAGAGTTCTTAAGAGCTAAATTCTGGAAGTAGCTCCCACTTGGTGTGGTTTTTCAGGTACACCAGGCTGGGTCTCACTGACCTTCCTGAGTACGAGCTCCCACCGGATGTGGTCGCCAGGTTACAGGCCTCACTAGGCCTTCCTGGTTATGAGCTCCCACATACTGTGGTCGCCAGGTTACGAGCTCCCGCATACTGTGGTCACCAGGTTACAGGCCTTACCAGGCCTTCCTGGCCATGAGCTCCCACACACTGTGGACGCCAGGTTACAGGCCTCAACAGGCCTTCCTGAATTCAGAGTGAAGTACACAAACCCATACTTCACCTATTATTGTGGTAAGTCACCTGACGAGATGTCTTGCGTAGTTTTTAAAATCCATTTCATATGGTGAGGGTCACGCGCGGTATGCTTCGGTCCCTTCTTATGTGGTTCAGACTCCGGTTCTTCACTTTGGGTCCCACTGTAGATGTGTCTTTGTCGCAATACATTACGACAGGCACTTCCCTTGTTCAAGCTATCTCCCACAACTGTGGTTTTAGGTCTGATTAGACCTTTTTCGAGGTAGCCCCACATTGTGGGTCTGTCAGGTTTCTAGCCTCTGGCTTTCCTGAAGGATGAGCTTCCACATGCTGTGGTCGTTGGGTTTCAGGCCGCACAATGTGCCTTCCTGACATGAGCCCTCATGTTTCAGAGCTCCCTACACAGAGGGTCATCAGGTCTTAGGTCTCATTGAC